GGTGGTCAATTACGTGTACAATGTCTAATGGTTTCTTTGTTTTTCTTTTTCAAGGGATCTCTAATATATTATTTAAGGAGTGATTTAAAAAAATATATATTTATGTGTTTTCTTCGTATTTGGTCTCTAAAAAAATATTATAACATGACAATCTTTAAAATAACAATTAACATTTAATTTAAATATTTTTTTTCAAAAAAATTTGAATTTTTTAACAAAAATACATTCATGTCTACTTATTTGAATAAAATTATGAGAAAACATACTCAATTTTTTACTTTTTTATCATATAATCTCATAAAATATTTAATTCCACAAAATTTTGTTTTGCTATATCACTTAATCTTCATTTTTTCCATTAAATAAATATATTTTCACAAAATTAATACATAAATTTGATTATTATTTTTTAAATGAGACTCCTACAAATTGGTTCATTCAAATGTTTCAAAAAATGCTCTCAAATCCCGCTCTGACTAATTATACACACAAACATTATAAAAATCCCACTAATGTGTTTAAATTTTTATTCTATTTAGCCCACTAATTTAACAATAGAAAAGATTAGGCTATAGTAAATAGTTCAATGAGTGAAATTGGTCTATAATCTTATATTTTCCTTATTTTCTCATAGGAAAAGAAAAGTCTTTAACAAAAATATGAAAAAGTGTAAGAGAATTTTTTTTTGTCACAAAAGTGTAAGAGACATTAACCACAAGAAAAATAGAAAACAACAAATTTTTGAAAAACAAAAGAAGAGAAAAAGATTGAGTACTTGGATTATGTTGTATAAAAAAAATACTAATTTTTTTTGGTTTAGAAGAGTTGCTCATATTAATCTTTTTAATATTTCGAAACCGAATTCAGTTTTTATTCAAAATTCAATGTGAAGAAAATTATTAATTTAAAAAGATGATCAATAGGAGATTCAATCTTTTATGAGAGGAATCTCGACTCTTTATAATAGATTGTGCACTCCAATGTATTAAATTATTATACATTTGATTTGATATGTTTACATATATAAATAATAAAATGGTAAAACTAAACTTTCAAAAATTCATATTAT